AGCACTGCCTCTGTGCTAGCATACCCTGTTTCAGAGCATGGTGCAGAAGCAGTGGCTGAATGGAAACATCTCATGTCTGGCAAGGTTCAAACTGAGCTGGAGTTATTGCTTGTGTACAGCGCCAAGACTTTCTGGTTTGATCTGGCTACATTAACAAAATTGAATCCTCTTAGCCTGCAAAGCACAGTTGCTGTATGCAAACTGGCTGCTCCTGGACCATGCCAACTCCCAAATCATGCCTGGGCATTGCTTGCAAGAATGCTAGCTGACCTGCACAAAAATTATACCGGGGATCATTCTAACAGTATTTAGATGATCAAGTTGTTTCAAGTGCTGACATTCTTTAAGTTACAAGTACAGACATAGCCAGTAGGTCTTACTAGATGTAGTTTAAATTCTTATAACATTGAATTCCTGTTTCTGGAAGCACACAACAAGGCTGCCAACTCAGGTTACTTGGGAAGCTAATATGGGCTCTGGTGGTTTGTTAGTTTGGATCACACGCACTACAGAGATGGCTAAACTGCTCTTGAGATCACACTGACCCTGCAATCAATATAGATGTATTCGCTTGGATACATCCAAGCTAAGAATGTAGGTAAGAAACTTTGCTGGGTCATTACAGAGCTAACTGATAAAACTCTGCTGCAATGGTATAATTAATGCATAACCCATAAAAAGCTGATGATTGTCTGTAACTGAATTCCTTCTCTACATCCTAACTAAAGCATCTAGTTCTACAGAGGTATAGGAACTAGATTCACAAGAACAAATCACAGTGAATAACTTCTAGATATCTTGCTACCTCATAAAACTCTCAACTCTGAGCAGGTGACTGAATCTTTCCATGCATTTCCCAGGATGCATAGGACATAGAAAGAAATTAATTCATGTTTCCTATATTCCAGATATGTGCTTTAAAGTCAGTTTCATCAAAAGGCCTGGGATTGTGAGGTTGGATGGGTGAAGGTATGATCACATCTTGCTTGAAAACACACAATTTTCAAATCCTGAGATCTAGGCATGAGCTAGACTGCTAGCAGGTCAATTGCTTGCCTACAGGGCTGGGTAGAAGCTCTGTGAGTTTTTTGTAACTGGCATTGGCATCTAATTCTTGACTTTGTACAAGAGGCACTTAACATACGTAGGTCTTCTGAATGTAGCTTCAGGTGACTTCAAGGACATAGTGCTTGAATGGACATGCTAGGTCATTTAAAACAGGTTCTCTTTTTCAGGCAACTTCATCAATATACTTATCAAACTCCACTTGAAAGCAGAACAGTTTGTCTGATCCAACTACGGCTATGAGCAAGTGTTTCCAGGATCTCACTGCTCTGGTACTAAAGGTTTTTTCCATTTCCAGAGTAAATTTATTCTTGGATAATTTATTCCACTTGCTTTTGAACCAACATTAGCCTAAATGCACCTTCTCTCATGCTGCTTAAGACTGATATATAGAGAGGGCAGTCCTTCTCAGCCTCCATTCTGTTAAGAGTGATCTGTCTGTTCTTCCATCCTCCCATAGAAAAGCTCTCGATTCTCCATGTCTTCTTTAAAGGATTTCTCTGTTGTCTTTCCAGTCAAATTAATCTTTCTTAAAAGTGGATGATCACAGCTGTTCAGAGTATTCTGGAGAGTGTCTTACCCTAATTAGTCCTTATGAATGGACAATGAAAAGTAACGTTCTCAGTTCTTTCCAATTATCCTTATTCAAAAAAGAATCCAACTGCTCTCGATAGCATTTTGTTTCTCTTCAAGAAAAATCCTAATTTAAAGTCAATGGAAAAATTGTTTAATATGAGGATACTTTCCTGTTCTTTGTATTTAGTGAAGGTTCTCCTGAGCTGAAATAGTTTATGAAACTGGCCAAAGCATTAGTTGGAGGAAGTTTAATGTAAGGCAGGTATCTCCAACCCAGGACTCAAGAGTAATGAGACCTTCTAAGGTGTCTGGCAGTATCAAGAAGCTGCTATTGCTGTGGACCTCACAGACAGCAGAGTAAGATACAGCCTTCAGCATGTTCTTTGCTCTGTGTTGTTACCCAAGTGGGTTGCAGTATCTTGCTGGGTTACTCCAACAGACTACTGCCACTTGGCTGCAGTCCAGCCCTAAACCATCAGGCGGTGGTGCTACTGTAGTGGCAGGTGGACGTCAATACCATATTCATACTGGTATTCAAATCAGTAATTTTCTTATGATGACAGAATTGTCTCCCGGATTTCTCAAAGGATACAAAAAAAACCAAATTTTTTTTTCTAAAGTCAGCTCTGTTATATAACAGGAAGTGTATGATTACTGTGAAAAGTGCAGAAATTTATCCTGGATTCTTCTGTGTTGTAGCTGTGTGGTCTGTCCTCTGAACAGTTGTGCTGATGTGTAGTGGGTGTTCTCAAGACCAGATTTGTCATTTTCTGTGTTAGACTTGCCAGCCCTATTATAAGAGAAGCAGCACAAATAGAGGAAGGATGAATGAGGATGAATGAGGGATACAAGGTGTGAGGTGTCCTCTTAATCCCTCGCCATATATCTGGCTAAACATAGGCTAAGGATACTTTGACCAAAGCAAGGGAAGTGAAGAACTGCCTAGCCGTTGTTGAAGAACAGAAAAAATGCTGTGATATTTGCTCACAAGGCAGTCTTTTCACCATGTCACACTTAAGGGAGAAATAATCTATGCTATCCCTTTTTTCTGTAGTTCCTCATTGTTGGTTGGTGGAGGCTAGAGATTTTATCCCCAAGACTGCTCTCTTCTTGTCTCTGTTCCTGGAAGCATGAATGTCATTACTTAGGAGCAGTGGTTTTCTTCTCTTACATGCTCTGGTGATACAGATAAATCCCACAGAAGTCATAAGAAAACACGTCATCCGCCTTTTTTCCTTTGAACAGGTGTACAGTGAGCACACGCTTAAATGAGTATTCATTTTCTTCATTTGCACCATTTGTAAAGTGAGAATGATGATACTACCTAGCTTGTGAAATGTTTCCATACACATACACTTTTTTTTTTTTTTTATAACTGTTGAATCTGCTTAAAGGAAAAAGGTAGGAGATGGAAAAAAAAAAAAAAGTGAGGGGATGAGACCTGAATGAGCTGCTTACCAAAGGGGTAGGTACACAGTGTGCTAGCCTGTAGCTGCCTGTTCCTGGAAGGGATGAAAAGGCAGCCCCGTTGGCAAAGTGTTGCTCTATGGTTCTGCCCATCCTATTTATAGTCAGGTAATGCAGTGATGCTGAAAATTGTTGCTGCTATGACTGTTTCAGTTTCAAATACAGCAAATCAATGTTGATAGCAGAATGATTCGCCTACAAATAATTAACTGCATGTAAGCTGTCAGAAATGTGTTTTTCCATCTGTTTCCTTGGGCCATATTCTTCCTTTTGCACTAAACCACTGAAAGTGGAAGAAAAAGTTCTTCAACC